TTTTTTTTTTTTTTTTTAAAAAGTCAATGCATTACATGGATGCATAAACACTTAATTTTATTTCCGTGTAAAATTCTGTTTAAAGTAACAGATTATAACTGGAAATGTTTCCGGACGTTTACTGGTTGTTGATTTTCTTTATTCAGACCCACTGATTGGTTACTCCTGCTGTAGATTGTTTTGATCCACAGGTTCAAAGGCTGCTGTCGAATCTAACAGGACAAAAATATCTAATGATTTCCTAAATGGGTTGTAGTGTTTCATAGGGTTACCCATGTTTGTCTGCTTACTGAAGCATAGTAATCAACATTTATATGTAAATGTGAAGATTTCAGCAAAGCTGGTATAATTATAGTTATTTCTTTATTACCTAGACTCAGAATTGTCATTTCAACACATTATCCCACCTGAGCTTTGGATCACTGCTGCTTCTCCACAAATACAACTTAAAATAGTGTCTGCTTCAAGTATGAGAATCACTTCATCTTCCTCACCTCTCCGCATGTTTCATCACACTTTTGAGGTCGACACTCTATTTTCACCAGATCTCCAGATGAAATGTTTGCAGCGGAACAGATGCAGTTCTCACATTTTTTGCCAGGAACTGAGGAACCAGGCTGAGAAATATAAATACATTAATTGTTGCTCTTTAAATAATAAAAAAAGAAATGATTCAACAGAACACATTTATCTAATCTACAGTTTTGTTCCCTACCCTGTATTCAGTTTGATTTTGGACACAGACTTGTTTGCGCTCTAGGAAAGAAAATGAACAAGTTAATAAATAAGATAGAAAATGTTTGATTATTTAATATATTTTTTTAAGCTCACCACATCTATTTTCTGGACAGCATTTTCCCTCAGGAACGCGGATGTTTGACCTAAAACCAACCTGACAGTTCATGTTGATCTCTGGACACGCACGGCTTTCACATTCTGTTTGACAAAGACGAAGAGCTCAAGTTATTACAAATGTTAGGAGTGACCAGCTGTAAGTAATAAAGGTCATTATAGTTAGATGTCTTACGACAAACGTGGAGAGTACAGCAGGGATCGGATGGATCAGTTTGATTGACTAGAACGTATCCTGGACCAGAGCACTGTTGTTCAGCTGGTGTTGGGCACGGCTTAGGCTTGCAGATCACAGTCTTGGTGGACTCATCACAGACACAGTTTTGACATTTGTATTCAAATGTCTCATTGAACTAGAGGAACAGCAATGAAGAGATGGCTTAAATATGTCAGGAAACCAAAAATAGACTTTACACGAAAATCAGGTTAAGCTCACCTCACGGGGTGTCCCATCAGGATCAAGGCATCCTGTTAAAACATTGCATAAACAACATTATATATTTTTTAAATTCTATATACTAATGCCTTTGCAGCTTAATGAAATTAGTCACATTAAGTTGTGAATAAAGAAACTTTGTAGTCTTTTCAATTCCTACAATCCTAAAAAAGCATTTAAAAAAGACATACGGTACCTCTAGTTCCATTATTTTAAAGATGTTAAAATTGAGACAGCGACTGAATATCATTTCACTTTGTAGAAGAGATAATCAGACAATTTTTAGTTTAAATTCTGCTTTACAATTATTAGTCTGATTTGCATAAATCCTAAATTAGTGTGTTCTAACAGGCATAGTTTGGATTTACCAGGTTACGCCACAAATTGCTTATGAACTTCAGGGACCTGTGTTTCCTTTGCTCCATAACACACATAACAAAGAAACAACACAATCCTAATATTTGCTTTTTCCATTTATACTTCCTCTCATTAGATTGTGTTAAGGGGGATCAAAATTGCATAGACATATCCTCCTGCACTGATAACTAAAATCTATACTGCATGTAAATAATAAACTAGAAATCTCGAGAGGAGAGGGGAAGAAAATAAAATTTGGTTGAGCAAGCCTGCTTAATGCTTGCACACAATTTGGATGTGTTCAAGTTATATTGTGTCAGAAGCTCCTCGATTTATTCTCAGCCAAACTAGGTTGTGTTAGAGCTTGAAACCTTAGAATTACTCTTATAATGTCTAACATTCCTACCCTTAAGTAAAGGGGCTACCCTTAAAAGTAAGGGTGGGCTTAAAACTTTCCTTTTTGATAAAGCTTCTAGTTAGAGTGGCTCAGGTTATCCTGAGCTATCTCTATAGTTCTACTGCTATAGGCTTAGACTGCTGGAGGACATAGGGACTCCTTTTTCATCATTCTAGTTAGTTCAATCTCTAACGTTCTGCTTTTTCTCATAGTTTCCATGGCTCGGAGCTCGTCTGTCTAGCTGTGTGTTTCCTGGACGGGGCCGCCTGTGGAGCTGGTTGACAGTTGCCTTTTGTATCTATGATTCTTTTTCTATGTCTCCTTCTTTCTACTTGAACCCCAGTAGACCTCAGTAGATGGTTTAATACTTACCACAACTTTTAACACAGATTTGCGATTCTCTGCTGAACAGTTTCATTCCCTCTGGACAAAAGCAGCCCTCCGTAGTGAAGTTCAAGATTGGATCATTAGGGCTGCAAAATTTAAAAAAGGAAAAACATGTTATATTCCTTAAAGTACCTTAAATGCTCCTTAGGTGGCTGCTATTTTAGTGTTCATGTTTATATTGAACGACTCACTGGGACGGGCTGGGATCAGTTCATATTTCTTTGAAATTCCAGTTTTTCCTACATGCCACTTCAATGTACTTTTCTCTGTATGATTTCCCATTATGTTTCATTCATGTAAAGCACTTTGAATTGTGTTACTACTTAAAAATGCTGCATAAATGAGCTTGCCTAGCCTTAAGTCCTGCAAATGGTGGATTACTAGTTCAATTCTATTCAGTTTATTTCTATAGCGCCAATTCACAACACAAGTCATCTCAAAGCACTTTACAGCTCAACCAGATCAAACAGTCAGATTGATTCAAAGTTTTCTATCTAAGGAAAACCAGTTGATTGCATCGACTCATTGACTCAAATGCAATGCCTCACACTAAGCATGCTTGTAGTGACAGTGGAGAGGAAAAACTCCCTTTTAACAGGAAGAAACCTCCAGCAGAACCAGGCTCAGTGTGAGCGGCCATCTGCTGAGGCCCACTGGGGTTCAAGTTGCTTGTTTGCCTGAACTGATCTCTCCCTGTTTCTGAGCCTGCCTGATCCCTGTCTGACCTGACTGACTACCTGTTCTGCCTGACCCATATCTGGTTGTCTGCCTGCCCATTCCCTAACCTGGAACTGTTTCTTGACCTCATCCTGGATTTCCCTCTGTTGCTTCATTGGACTTCTGATCACCTGGCTCTGAACCTGGATTTCGCCCCAGACTACCGATTCTGGTTTGTCCTCCTGTTCCTCCTGCCTACTATTGTCTTCACGGTTGTCTTCGTGGGTCTTCCCAGACTGAGGACTAAGAGAAGGTTAGTGGACAATTATGTTTTGTTGATGCACATCATAACGCTAACCGTTTCCAGAGGTTCCTGCCCTAGTCGCTGACGCTACTTGCAGCAGTTTTGTTTCAATAAACTGTGTTAAGCTTTCAAATTGGTTGTCTGGTTTGAATTCTGGTCCTTCTGTTCTGATCATTACTTGTTCTATATTCCAAAACAGAAGGAAGACACTTGCAGGTAATATCAGCTCTTCAGAGACATTTCTAACCTTTTTTTTATAGCACAGGTAGGGGCTGCTGTCTAGAGAACATAATTCATAAGGATGTGGGGCTGCACGGTGGAGCACTGGGTTGCCTTGCACCAAGAAGGTGCCGGTTTTGATTCCCTGCCTGGGGTCTTTCTGTGACCATCTCTACATTGCCCTTAGGTGTAAGTGTTTGGTGTACATGGTTGTATGCCATCCCTGTGTTTTTGTGCAATAGACTGGTGACCTGTCCAGGGTGTACCCTGCCTCTCGCTCAATGACTTCCGGAGATAGGCAACTACCTCATGGAAAAAGTGGAAGAACATGGGTGCATGTAACCTTTTGTGCATTACTTTGATAAAGGATTTGCCTTGTAACATAGTTAAAGCTTTTAAAAAGTGTATTATGCCTGAAGCAGGGTCTTTAAAGTGAAAAGGTGCAGTTGATTGGCTTAAATGTAAATAAGGAATAAATTATGAAACTACAAAGCCAGCAAATTAGTTGTAATAATTGTACATTATTGTTTAAAAGCAAATCAAAGAAATATCACTTTGGGAAATATTGAAAAGTGTTTTTTTTTAATCAATTCACCTGATAAATTCAAGTGAATTACATGTTATTAAGGGTGTTTTTCAAGGATGTTTCTAAGTCTTCTTAGTGTTCGATGACCTGCCCTATTTCCTAAGAAAATAATTGCAGGATAAACCTTTATGCCTCAAAGCCTATAGAAAATATCTGTTTCAGAACTTACTTGTCATTACAAGATGGTTGATCTGCAGGTCCACAAGGTCTATAAATTTTGTCTGATGGGCAGTCGCTGGCTGTTGGCAAAGAACATAATTTTTTTATTCGACTATTGAAGTTGCAGTCACAATTAAAAATATAGATAATAAAAACACAAGTCTTTTTTCAAATTCATTGGTTCTGTACTAAGAAAGAAAATTGTACCGCATAATTCAGTGTGGTTTCTCCAGTGAATGCAAATGCCAATCTCAGCGCAGGCAGCGGCATAAATTTCCAAACTTGTGCACTCTACTGAGCGGTTGTGAACATTGCAACTATCAAAAATACATCCCGTGTAAAAATTGTCTGGACGGATCCGTTGATGGCATTCAGCGAAGAGACTGTTGTGGAATATGGAAACTGAACTTAATAAAATGATGTAAAAGGTTTTGCTAAACAATATTCTCTGTATAAAATAGCAGAAACTAAGAGAATTAGTAAACTACCTGCTTTTAAGGAGATCACATATGGAATTTGAATCGCATGGAGTTTGTTGAATAGTTTCTACTTTGGCAGGTGTCCTTATGCACTCAGGTTTTTCCTTGTCATTCTCCAAAAGCCAGTAATCAGCCATTACAGCACAATCCACTTCTTTGCCTCCCGGCAACCTGCAGTCATCCGTCTGGTTGTTGGAGCAAGTTCCTTTTTGAAATTAGCAAACGTTATGATTTATATTCAAACCAATAGGTCCACACAGATGGTGTCTCGAGAGGGGGATTCTTACCGCAATGACCTTGTGTGTTTTGCCCAAAGTATTGATATGGAAGGTTGACACTAAAGCCAGTTCTTCCAAATTTAACAACCACTCTTAGACGAATGATCTCTAAAACTATGTTGATCCCAGTACTCATCACCTTAACACCTTGTTCCCAATAAGGTAGCCTTAGACTTACTTCGTTTCTAAATGCCTAGAGAGAGAGAGTGAGAGAGAGGTTTACATATAACATTTAACTTCAAAACCTATTTTGAGAGGGCATAGTCTTTTGTTACCTTCAAATCTGGTCGTCCGTTGAGATTAAAATTGATCAGTTTGATATTTTGTCCTCCATAATTTACAGTTAAGGATCGAGGACAGGAAACGTCTTCAGTTGGATCACAATGGACATTGTCAATATATATTTCCAAGCCATGCTTGGGGATGATTTCTCTCATCAAATAATAGGAACACTGTCCTTGGTAACTGTAGTATAGCCCATCAAATGTAATATAGTGAGGATCTCCCCAGCCTTCGCATTCACCTAAATTGATGAAAGTGTCAAAGTTTTATTAAGTTCCAAACATAAATATTTTGTCTGTATCAATTGATCAGTAGGTGTTTAAGTTGGCTTCTTATATGCAACAAAAATGATCTCAGGTTTTCATTAAGCATCTAAAAATATATGTTAGCAGTACATTCTTTGAGCTGAAAGAGGAATCTATTGAAAAAATAGACTGTTGCAGTTTAAATTGAGTTTAGTGCTTTGATAGAAGATAACTACTAGTAAATATTTGCTGTTGCTTATTGGTACAGTCAATCTATACAATATTATGGAAGATTGTTTTATTATTTTCTTTTTGATTAGCTATAATGGTTAGTTCATTTTGGCATATTTTTAAAAGAGAACTTACAGTCACATTCATAATGTTGGCAGCAGTGATATTCATCGTAAACGAGAACAGGAGTTTTTCCATTGGCACAAGTTATGTTTTTCAAGGGTGGACACTCATAGGGAACTATTTGAACAGTATTGTTTCCGATACATTTGGCCATGGTGCAGTTGCAATACTGAAAGGTCTCATTTTGCTGTGACAAAGACAAAAAGGATGATCAGTATTAGGGTGGTTAAAGAGGTGAAGCAACTGAACTATAAGCATGCAGGAAAATAATCATAAGAAGCAGAACAGATTTGATTGATCAATTAGAAAATGTTTGCTTTAGAATTTCTTAGTTTTCCACTTACCAATTTATCCCATTTGGGACAGTTTGTTACATGAGGTGTAGGAGTTGGTGTTTCAGTACTAGTGCTAGATGGTGTTGATTCAGTTGAGGTGGTGGTAGTAGTTGTAGTTGAAGTAGTTGGTGTGGTAGTTGTTGTTGCAGATATAGTGGTAGATTCTGATGCAGTTGTTGATCCTGTAGTTGTGGTTGTTGTAGTGGTTGTTTTAGTTGTATATTCAGTTGAGTGAGTTGTGGATTCTGTGGTTGAAGTTGAAGTAGTTGGAGACTCAGTTGATGTGGGTGTGGTTGTAGTTGTTGGGGTTGTAGTTGGTGTTTCAGTTGTAGTGGTAGATTCTGTGGCAGTTGTAGACTCAGTTGTTGTAGTTGTTATGGTTGTTGTAGTGGTTGTAGTAGTAGTAGGTGTTTCAGTAGTAGATGTAGTGGAGGGAGATGGGGAAATGGTTGATGTTGAGGTTGTAGTTGTTAT